ACTTATGATCAATTTCAATTCCTTGTACACCGGATTTGTGCATGGGTTTTCCTTGACTACCCGTCTTGTTGGTATGGGAAGACTACATAGGGGAGATTCACCAAATATGGTTTCCATTTCCTGGAATAGCAAGCAGCAACACAATGGAAACCATAAGCATTTATTCATTTAAAAAGACACTTAATTGCATTGTATACATAGAGTACCAAGAGTTTCAAGATTTACATTTGAAACCATGTGTGCTCATATCAAGCTAGAGACATAAATGGTGTAGTGATCAAAAGCATATAACCCATTTCTAAGAATCAGATGATAATAACCTTGGTTTTCATAATGTTTGGAGGTATTATTTGGTAGCCCTAGTTTAATTAGGAATTCAATATTTGAGTTTATGAGAAAAGATGGCATCTTTTCCTAGCTTCCTATAGTTCGCAATCGTTCCACCCCTCTACAGATTTGTCTACACGGAATTAATCACCCTATCTTCATACATGTACCTAATTCACAATTTCTCACCCTCAACGAAATCTTCCTATAGTTCACAATGTTCACAATCTGTGCTCCTTTAATCACCCAAGTTAATCGGAATTAGTTTAAAAATTAAAATCTTGGGCTCCTTTAGTGAGAAAAGAACAATACAACAATTAGTTTAAGAATCAAAATCTCGTTGCGTTCACTGGAAGAAGAGAGTTGCGCTTGACGTTCGACTGAAGAAGACCGAGTTGCGGTAATATGATATGTCGATTAATGAAGTATGAGTATTTTGAAAAAAAAATTATAAGCCATCAGGAATCCAAAAAAAACCTAAGGCATTAGTGGGTTTGACATGTCTGGTCATGTGATCACCTTTTCCGCAATCCCCAAAAAAATTAAACTCACGAACCAAACACAGGTATCTCACATTCCGGGCATGAGATTCCGCCCTGTATAAGATATTACCTTGAACCAAACATTGTTAAGACACGTGGTTCCATCCTAAAAGATCAACCTGATAGGAGGAGTAGGCCATGTGTTAATATAACACTTTGTTCATCCAAATGTTTCCGGTGTGGGACATTTTAACACCCCTCCTCACGATCAGACACTTAGTCTGGATCGTGCAATCATTCATTTTTTTTATCGATACATTTTTTTCATCCGGACGTTTTTATAACGTGTCATCATTTTTTATAAGGGGTCTCACACCATGAATCGATTTGGCTCTGATACCATGTCAAGACACAGGGTTCCATCCTAAAAGGTCACTCTGATAGGAGAAGTAACCCATGTGTTAATATAACACTTTATTCATCCAAATGTTTCCGTTGTGGAACATTTTAACTGCCTTAGAGTTTTTCAACACCCTAATGGTCGTGATAATGGAGGCATGGAGCACAACTAGATAATTCATGTGGAGGTATTTGGATATGCAAAGCAATAACAAGATTTTGATTATCAGTACCATTATGATTGTTTTCATGTCCAGGTATTCCAGGATGGAGTGGCTTTAATGAAAGTATTCTAAAAATCCTTTTTTGTGATGGTGGAAGCAACTAGTGGTCGAATGAACCTCTTTTGAGCTATTGAGTAAGTTGCCAATAAGAAATCGTGTCATGTATATACGTAGGAATGTAACTAGATCAGGCTATAGTCAGGGATGGATTTAGGGGGGCGCGGGGGGCGACCGCCCCCTTGGACTTTGAAAAATTTCTACCATATATATAATATTTTCATAAAACTTTCATAATTTAATTATATTCGCCCCCCTTAGCTTTTAATTTTCAAAATTAATATATAGTCTTACATAATGTAATACTTAATTGGATATTTAAAAGAAATAACATCTAATATAATTTACATAACTCGTTGTTTAAGATTTAGGATACTTATTATATAAGAATTCCTAGTTTTGTAATGTGCAATTATCTTTATTAGATAACAAGTACTCAATTTTGTAAAATATATATCAAACAATATTAAATACCAGACACACTAATTACACAGTTTTTAGATCACGTGAAATGAATCCAAAATATAAATATTTATTGACATTAAATTACATAATTCATTTACTTCTTGCTTTCTAAAAATAATTTATTGCATAGATAATAAAATTTTAATTATTATAGCATTAATACAAATATTAAAATATAATATGCACCACATAGTGTGTGTATGTGGTGCATATTATTCTAAAAATAATAATCTCATACATACTACTATTGTATTATTAAGAAAACTTCTCATAAGTCATGACTCACGAACACCCTCCTTGATGGACAAAAATTACAATTCAGTAACCGATTCATAAGATTAAACAATATACTAGTAGAAGTTATTAAAAATGTATTGGTTGATGTCTGTGTCATCGTCTAAATTTAGAATGTAATAGATTTATATGTCGTTGGGGGATATATATGTATTAATGTCATTTTTTTTAATAAAAATAGCCGCATAGCTCTACAGTAGTGAAAAAATTCTGCCCCGCTACACTAGGGGGAAAACTTTCGTCCCACTACACTAACGAAAAAAAAATTTCACCTCCTACACTAACGAAAAATTTCGCCCCCCTTGACCCAAAATCCTGGATCCGTCCCTGGCTATAGTGATAAGGATTAAAATTGTTTCTTCCCTACATACATTCATAAACATAGATTATATGTACATGGCAATTGGCATGGTATTGTCGGTGTAGGCCGATAGCCCAACTAATAAGAGTGGTCTTGGTTAAATTAGCTAGCACTGTTGAATAGAGAAGTTTTTTGCACTGAACTTAATAAAGAAACTTATTAGTTCATTAAAATGAGTTCTGTTTGTGTATAAAGTTAGCCAAATGCAATGGGGAATAAAAAACAGAGGTCAAGAAACACTGAAACAATCTCAATTCTCGAGAGTGAGGCAGAAGTAGATCACGTGAGATGCTTAATTCTGATTACTCTCATGCCATGTGAAAAAAAGATTTTCAATAACAAAATGCATAAGTTACAATATACAAATATATATTCCGAACATATTTGCACACACTTGTAGCTATACATGCTGGTGTTTGGTAAATGGCGTTTCAATCCGAAAATGGAGATTTGATCACTTTTAATGTTTTCAATAAGTGAAAAGGTTGTTTGGTAAATAGTTGTTCAGCACTAACGGTTTTGGACGAAAACGTTGAAATGAAAACGCTGCAAATATGAGTGTTTTGAGTTAGCATTTTGAAATATGATCATTTCTACTAATTTTATGGTCAAACAACTAAATTACAAAACATCTTCTGACAACTCGCTACCTTATTCCGCTAGTCAAACCTACCGATTGAATCCGTTATTGACAACTCGCTAACATAATTCGTTAACCGCTAAATGCCAGATGAAGATTAAGTCAATCGTGATATTCTGTATGAAGAAATTTTGATCCCTTCCAACTTTAAGATGAAAAGCGGATATTTCAGAGCTTTGAAATGGAAGAGGCCGAAAAGGAAGTCAAACTGAATAATGATGCTAGATTCTTACCTGGAATGGTCTCAAGCGGTGCGATTATGAGAAATGCTGAGGGCACTCTTCTCTTTGCCTCCTCGTTCTCCCTTGAAATGGATGTTGCGGTTGCCCCGAAATACATCGAAGATGGCGGTGCGAGACATTGGAAGGTGAGTTATCAGGAAACCTTACAGAAAGCAAAAAAGGAAAGAGGTTTTTTTCTCCTATTGTGCAAGGGAGAGTAATTGGGTAGCCCATCATTTGGCAAATCAACCTGCAACCCAGATTATTAAACAGATTTCGAATACGCCAAGTTTAACACAAAGAGGGTACTATTCGGATTTATTTGGCCTTCATTCTTTTAGATATGTGTTCTGATGTACTCCATTGGGTCAGGCCTAGCCCCCTCAGTGGATTTCGTTTTTGTTTTATTTTCTCGTGTTATATTTGGGAGGAATGCCTCCTTGGAGGGGTTTTGGCCCCCCCATATCTGTTTCTTTCTATTTTTAATAAAACGTGATAAATGTGCCCCGGCATTTACCCCACTGATTTTTGTGGTTTGCCTTCCGGGATAAAAAAAAACAGACACGCTCACAAGCTTAATAACAAATATTAAAGTTAATATCTGTGGACCTTAATTGGTACTCCATAGGCCATAATTCACTTGACAACTTTTTCCACGATCCACGATCTCACCATATGGAGTATGGTCAACAAATCCGCGATCTCATTCTCTTTTCACAAGGGGATGTTGGGTCGATTAAAGTCCTAGTGGATGGACTTGAAGAGTTTGGAAAGGTTTCTGGTCGATCTTATAGTTAAGGGAAAACTATCAAATAAGCCCCGTACTATACTGAAAAAGTCGATTAGGCCCTCGTACTTGGAGTTAAAGAGTTTGGAAAGGTTTCTGGTCGATCTTATAGTTAAGGGAAAACTATCAAATAAGCCCCCATACTATACTGAAAAAGTCGATTAGGCCCTCGTACTTTACAAACACTCAATTAAGTTCTCGAACTATTAAAAACGTTCAATTAAAAGCCCTTTCGATCGGTAAGTAACCGGTTTTCCGGTTAAATGTAACCCGTTTCCCGGAAGCCGCCGTTGCTGGGTTTCGAGCACATCATTACCGACATACCGTCGTCGTCGTTTAACCGGGAAACCGGTTAGTTACCGATCAAAAAGGCTTAATTAAACGTTTTTAATAGTTCAAGGACTTAATTGAGTGTTTGTAAAATACGAGGGCCTAATCGACTTTTTCAGCATAGTACAGGGCTTATTTGATAGTTTTCCCTATAGTTAATCATGAAAAATCCAATATTTTCTTGGGTGGGGTACCAGACTATATATATCTTACTCTGAATTCTTAATTTAATCGATTTTAACCAAGGCACATTCCCGTCATATACTTAGGCATTCCATTAGCACATTCCCCGTCTTGATCTCACATGGAACTTTTTCCGGTTGATACTGTTGGGCCTATCTCATTTATTCCCTCCTATGTGATTATAGCCCAAATTGTTGGAGACCCATTAATTCATTTTGACTCTTCACTTAGTCAATGGGTGTGGTCTGAAGATACGGCCTGTGGTCAGGGAAGAGATCAGCCAACAGAAAAAGATAACAAATAAAGGAGAGAAAAATTTCTGGGCAGAAATTTTGCTGCTCGCCCAGCTTCATAGAAATCGCTATTGGGAAGGCATCCGTGGTCAGATTATACTGAAATTTTGACAGGAGGTTCTCAAGACACAGACCTAAATTCTGAACGGTGGAGATTGGATTTTGACGGTCAGATCGTCTGGAATCATTTCCGAACAGACCTGCAGTTTTTAGGGTGATTTCAATCCTTTTTCATCCTCTTTGTATCTTTGTTGAAGTTTTATACTTCTTGAGCTGTTGTATCATCATATTTGATGTTTGGAGACTCTCTTGTACTCATTCCTTGTTGATTAGTGAAGAGTTTGGGTGGATGGAGGCCCCGTGGTTTTTCCTCTTCGATTTGGAGGGGTTTTCCACGTAAAAAATCATGGTGTTCTGTGTGTGCTTGGTTTCATTTCATTTTTACAGCTTTCTCCATATATGTTTTTGATGTCATTCACTGCTACCTGCTATTAAACCGGGATCCTGTGAGTTTCTTGCAAGCTTGGAAGAATTCTTGTCAAGTATATTTGGACTGTTTTGGGTTTGTGGTTGAATTACTTTGACAGGCAGTGTTTTTCTTCCCTACAAATTGGTATCAAAGCTTGTAGTTATTCCTGTGTTATCTGCTTGTTTGAAATATGGAGCCGAATATTAGTAGGATGATTTGTTTGAATGGCAAGAATTATCACAACTGGAGTGGTAAAATGAAAGATTTGCTATATGTTAAAAGTCTCCATTTACCTGTATTCGGAACTAAGCCTGAGAATAAATCTGATGAAGTCTGGGGTTTTGAAAATCAGCAAGTCTGTGGTTATATCAGATGTTGGGTGGAAGAAAATGTTAGAAATCATATAGCAAAGGAAACAAATGCCAAAAACTTGTGGACGAACCTTAAAAACATGTATGCTGCTAAAACAGGAAATAATAAATTGTTTCTGTTAAAGCAAATGATGAATTTGAGATATAAAGAGGGCACTTCTGTTTTGGATCATGTTAATGAATTTCAAGGCCTAGTTGATCAGATGACTGACGTTGGTATTAAATTTGAAGAAGAAATATTGGGACTTTGGTTGCTTAACAGTTTACCCGATTCTTGGGAAACTTTCCGAACTTCTTTTACTAACAATGCTCCTACTGGTTCTATGTCTTTAGGGTATGCTAGAGATGGCATTTTAAATGAGGAGGTTAGAAGAAGGACTCCAGGTACAAACTCATCCCAGTCAGAAGTTTTTGTTACTGAAGACAGGGGGAGAAACCAGAACAAGTTTCAAGGTTATAGAGGCAAAAGCAGAAGTAAGTCCAGGTCCCGGTTTAAGGATATGGAATGTCATTACTGTGGAAAGAAAGGTCATATCAAGAAGCATTGCTTTAAATTGAAGAAGGACAGGAAAAATGGCAACAATTCTGATGTGAAAAATGACAACAATGGTGACCGCGTTGCTGCTGCCACTCCGGGAGATCTTGTTATTGTTCATGATGATGTGATCAATTTTTCATCTCATGACACTGATTGGGTAGTAGACACTGGCGCCTCACTTCATGTTACGTCTAAAAAGGAGTTCTTCAGTTCCTACACTCCAGGTGATTTTGGAGTTCTCAGGATGGGCAATGATGGTGTGTCAAAGGTTATTGGCATGGGTGATGTGTGTTTGCAGACTAGTAATGGCACTCAATTGATCCTTAAAGATGTCAGACATGCTCCAGATATTCGCCTAAATTTGATCTCAGTTGGAAGACTTGACAATGATGGTTTCTGCAACAGTTTTATTGGCGGGGAGTGGAAGCTCTCCAAGGGTTCATTGATTGTGGCTCGTGGGAAGAAGTCTTCTAATCTTTATTTATTGCAGGCTTTCGTTTCTGGCAGCATCAATGCAGTGGACAGCAAAGTCTCATTTGATTTATGGCATAGACGACTTAGCCATATTAGTGAAAAGGGACTTAATTGTTTAATTAGAAACAATGTTATTTCTGGACTTGGTACAACAAAGTTAAACAAGTGTGATCATTGCATGGCGGGAAAACAAAACAGAGTGTCCTTCAAGAGTAATTCTCCTCACAGAAAATCAAGCGTGTTGGAGTTGATTCATTCCGATGTGTGTGGTCCTTTAAAGGTACAATCTTTTAGCGGTGCATCTTATTTTGTGACTTTCATTGATGACTATTCTAGAAAGGTGTGGGTCTATGCTTTAAAGACCAAGGATCAAGTTCTAGATAAGTTTATGGAATTTCAAGCTCTTGTTGAGAGGCAGACGGGAAAGAAAGTCAAGTGCATCCGAACAGATAATGGTGGTGAATATTGTGGTCCATTTGATCATTATTGCAGAAAACTAGGGATAAGGCATCAGAAGACTCCTCCCAAAACTCCTCAGCTAAATGGTTTGGCAGAAAGAATGAACAGAACTTTAATTGAGAGAGTTCGTTGTTTACTTTCTGAAGCTAAGCTATCACCGAGCTTCTGGGGTGAAGCTTTGTACGCAGCAGTTCATGTGATTAATCTGTCCCCAGCTTATGCTTTAGATGGAGATGTTCCAGAGAATGTTTGGTCAGGCAAGAAATCTTCTTATGATCATTTGAGAGTCTTTGGTTGTAAGGCTTTTGTTCATATTCCTAAAGATGAACGGTCTAAACTTGAGGCAAAGACTAGACAATGTATCTTTCTAGGTTATGGCCAGGATGAGTTTGGGTACAGGTTATATGATCCAGTTGAGAAGAAACTTGTCAGAAGCAGAGATGTTGTATTCTGTGAAGATCAAACTATTAAGGATATTCAGAAGGTTCAGATGACAGCAACACAGATGTATGATGATCTTGTTGACTTGGGTGATGAGGGGACTCGTAATGAGTCTACGATTGTTGATGATACGACTCAGCCCGATACACACCAGGATACAGTTGACACTCAGACTCCAGAGGATGAAACTATTGATATTCAACATCCAGAAGTTACATATATGCCAGAGGAATCACATGAAGCTCCAATTCCTATGAGACGGACTACAAGAGCTAAAATACCTTCTATTAGGTATAATCCTGACACTTATGTGCTCTTGAATGACGGGGGAGAACCTGAATGCTTTGATGAAGTACTGGAAAGTGAGCAAAAAGATAAGTGGTTCAGGACAATGCAAGATGAGATGGAATCTTTGCATGATAATCATACCTTTGATTTGGTAAAGTTACCCACTGGTAAGAGAGCTTTGAAGAATAGGTGGGTTTACAGGTTAAAACAGGAGGAACATTCCTCAAACCCACGATACAAAGCTAGATTAGTAGTCAAAGGTTTTAATCAGAGAAAAGGAGTTGATTTTTCTGAAATTTTTTCTCCTGTTGTGAAAATGTCTTCCATTAGAGTTGTGCTTGCTTTAGCTGCTATTCTTGATTTGGAGGTTGAGCAAATGGATGTGAAGACAGCTTTTCTTCATGGTAATCTTGAGGAAGAGATTTTGTAACACCCTACCCGAACCGGCCCCGCCGATCCGAGCGGTGTGTCACGTGGCAGAAGTCAAAACGGATTTAACCAGAAGACTTTTAGTTATTTAAACAAAATTAAGTATTTAAGTAAAACATTTTAATTCAAATGTCAACTTATTATTCAATACTTGAAAATATCAAGTCAACATAAAGCAATTAATATTATACAACACAAAATATTTTTGTAATATGCGGAAGCGTTTACAAAATGAAAATGATCAGATAAGTTTAAAGTCAAACTTGCTTCTTATTTATTTATTTATTTATAAACAATACACACATGATATGCACATGAATCCTACGCCTCCTTCCATCCCAGCATCCTTATCTTAGCTGAATGTACTTCAACCTACGGGTAGGAAAAACAAACAACTACCCGCTCAGCAATGTGCTGAGTGGTACGGTACAAATACTGATAACGATAATCATAACAATAATGATAAATATAATAATTATCACATATTTAAATCAAATAACAACATATCATAATTAGCATCTAGTCAAACAAACAATTGACATACCTGAGTGAGCCGAATAACTGTCATAAAAATCAAAATATTCATATACAGATCAGAAGCATATTCAGATATCATAATTATCAAATAATTCTTATCCGGAGGTATATTATTAATAAATTCATTTAAGCCTTGTACTCAAGAACTGGACCTAGACAGAGAATACTAACGGTAAGGAATACGGACATAAAGACCATACCCACATTACCCAGGAAGGATATGGAAACGTAATCGCCGGAGCTACACGTATCAATCCCTAACAGAAGCTAGCTGAACAGAAAGGACGAGATCACCGAAGAGACTCGAACCTTAACAGAAGAGTAATAGTGCTCTAAAAAGATTTCAGGAGTGTACGTAGTACACTAAACAGGAGAACACTAATTCCTCTAAGACAGAATTTCAGGAGTGTACGTAGTACACTGAACAGAACAGGAGTATCCACGTCAGAGTACCGGATCAAGAGTAAGGCTAATTTTTTTATAATAGTACGGAGTACTTATTTAGAGCTACATAAATACATCAAAATGTGTATTTTTATACTTAATATTTAGAAGCTGGAGCCAGTATGCATGTAGTACGTAATCTATGGTCTAATGATGTGGATATATCATTTCTACGTATGTGTGATATAAATCTTTAAAGATAGCAATCATTACTTGTATAATAGTACTTCGTATATTCTATTATTCACCAATTATGTGTATAGTTATAAATTAAGTAAGTGCATGTACAAAATATATTTTTATATTCAAATTGTAAGGCCGAATGTAATACAGAGTATAAGAATATGTTTAAGATGATTCTTATACCTAACTCAAATTTTTATACAAATCTTATCTGACGTGCATATATATATATATATATATATATATATATATATATATAGCATAACTCATTTTCTTTTACTAATTGATACAATTTAAATATCAAGCTTTAAGAGTTGATCAGGAAATAAGTTTTCTTTTATTTTAAAAAATGTTTAAAAGCCATACTAGTGTAAAATACTATTACTAAATGGTAACTCTTTATAATTTTAATAAGAACCGTATTACGTACATAATTCATGAGTGGACATCTAAAATAATTTAGCCTATATTCCATTCATTTCACTAAAATCAATCAATTAATTACTACTAGCTAAATGATAATAATAATAAGTAACATACATACATGGAATTTGTGTAAATAGTAAGTAATTAATTAATTGAGTAGCAACTACGCCTGAAGTTATATTTATAATTACACATGCATACACTGTACATTTCATATACGTATACATAAATATATATTCGAGTATCAACATATTTCAATTTATATCTTGGAGAACTTTAAGTTTCGGCCGGATACTTAAAAATTTCCAGTGGATTTACTTATTTTCATATTTAGTCCATACAACAATAAATGACAATTCATATATGAGTCTATAAATTGATACTACATATAAATTTAAATACACATATTCACAACATGTATAATATTTCTAAACTTATACAACGTTCATCATCCCCATAACATATCAGGAATGGGGACGGAAAATATATTAATATGATAGCATTAAAATTCACCGTAGTAAAAACGGGGCGGAAACGTACTGACCTTATAGACAAATTCTCCTAATATTTTTGTTGATATGAGAACCTCCTATACGGCTACCACTCTTCTTCTTGTAGCTAATAATAATTTTTTTTTTATGGTCTCCTTAGTGGCCTTCTCGTATGAAACTAAAGAGTAGCTAACTTCCTATTTAAAGCCAAATAAGATCCCTATGCGTAAGACCAATAATTTTGCTTGTAGAAATATTTGTCCTATCCTAACTCAATCATACACATGACCATTAACTTCTCGTACTATCACTTGTATTACTATGCACTCTTCACTATTACTTCATTTATTTGTATGCTCCACATGTCAAGTAAGTTATTGCATGCATGCCTATTTGTCTCCATTCTATTATTGTAGTAATCTCATAACTCAACTCACATTATTTACTTATCTGAGTGTAGGATTTGGGTCTTCACGGCCCTTCTTTATTTTATTTTATTTTATTAAGCTTTTAATTAAGTATAATTTACTATTATTTTTTATTAAGCTTTTATTATTTTATTATTAAGGCTCTTTTCAATGGAATTATTTACTCTACAAATCAGAGAAGATATTAAATCTGATAAACTAATTTATTCATATGCATCTTAACTATTAGACCAGATTTTGGGGCGTTACATTTCTCTCCCCCTTAAAAGAATTTCGTCCTCGAAATTACCTGAGTTGACGCTGTTGAACAAATATGGATACTGGGCTATCATAGCTTCTTCGGTTTCCCAAGTTGCTTCTTCCGTGGTGTGGTTCCTCCAAAGAACTTTGACTAAGGGAACTGTTTTATTCCTTAACACCTTCACATCTCGAGCCAGAATTTGTACAGGTTCTTCTTCATAGGTTAAATCTTTATCAAGCTCCACAGTTCCGGGTGTTAGTACATGTGAAGGATCAGATCTATATCTTCTTAGCATTGACACATGAAAAACATCATGTATTTGGCTCAACTCTGATGGTAATGCTAGTCGATAGGCTACAGGACCAATACGTTCAGTGATTTCGTAAGGTCCAATAAACCTCGGACTTAGCTTACCCCTTTTTCCGAAACGCAATACCTTTTTCCAAGGAGACACTTTCAGAAAAACTTTTTCTCCTATAGCATACTCGATATCACGACGCTTTAAATCAGCATATGATTTTTGTCTATCTGATGCTTCCTTGAGTCGTTGTTGAATCAACTGGACCTTCTCCTCTGTTTCTTGAATCAAATCTGGCCCAATGGTCTTTCTTTCACTTAGCTCTGTCCAACAGACCGGAGTTCTACACTTACGACCATACAGAGCTTCGTACGGTGCCATCTGGATGGTAGCTTGATAGCTATTGTTGTATGCAAACTCCATAAGAGGCAGATATTTCTCCCAACTTCCTTTGAATTCAATAGCACATCCTCGCATCATATCCTCAAGAATTTGAATAACTCTTTCAGATTGACCATCTGTCTGAGGATGAAAGGCTGTGCTAAAGTTCAATTTCGTACCAAGTGCCTCTTGTAAGCTTTTCCAGAATTGAGAAGTAAATCTTGGATCTCTATCGGATATGATGGATAACGGTATCCCATGTAATCGTACTATCTCTTGGAGATACAATTCAGCTAACTTGTTTAAGGAGAAATCCCTTCGAATGGGTATGAAATGAGCAGATTTGGTAAGTCGGTCCACAATTACCCAAACCGAGTCATTCTTCCTTGGTGTCAAAGGTAATCCTACCACAAAATCCATGGTCACCCGATCCCATTTCCATTCTGGTATTGTGATGGATTGTAACAATCCAGATGGAACTTGATGTTCAGCTTTAACTTGTTGGCAAGTGAGACACTTAGAAGTATACTCAGTGATATCACGTTTCATACCGGACCACCAGTATAGATTCTTCAAATCTCGATACATCTTGTTGCTGTCCGGATGCATTGAGTACTTTGTTTCATGTGACTCCTGAAGAATTCTTTGTTTAACCTCTCCAATAGGAACGACCAAACGTCCCTTGAAGCACAATCCACCATTACTTTGTTTAGTGAAATCTGGTTTCTCCCCTTTAGAAATTGACTCCACTATTTGAAGGCACTGATCATCAGATTTTTGAGCTATTATGATTTCTTCTTGAAGTGAAGGTTTGAGATGTAATTCAGCTAGAGTTTTCCGACTCAAAGCATCTGCCACAACGTTAGCTTTCCCTGGATGATAATTGATTACACAATCATAATCCTTGATTAATTCTAACCAACGCCTTTGCCTCAAATTTAGCTCCTTTTGCGTCGGAAGATATTTCAGACTTTTGTGATCGGTAAAGATGTAACACCTTTCCCCATAAAGATAATGTCGCCATATCTTTAAAGCAAAGACAATAGCGGCTAACTCCAGATCATGTGTGGGGTAGTTCTTCTCGTGCTCTTTGAGTTGTCTCGAGGCATATGCGATCACTTTTCCTTCTTGCATTAATACACATCCCAAGCCATTATGAGAAGCATCACTATACACGGTGAAGTCCTTACCAGATACCGGTTGAACAAGTACCGGAGCTTCTGTGAGAACCTTCTTTAGTTTATCAAAACTCTCTTGACAAGAGGGTGCCCATTCAAAACGTGAATTTTTCTTCAAGAGTTTATGAAGAGGTGAAGCTATCAAGGAAAAGCCTTTAACAAAGCGACGATAGTAACCTGCTAATCCCAGGAAACTTCGGACCTCCGTCACAGTTCGAGGTGATCTCCAGTTTGTAATGGCTTGAATTTTCGTGGGATCAACTCTTATGCCATCTGCTGAAATGACGTGACCCAAGAAAGTTACTCGATCAAGCCAAAATTCACACTTCGAAAACTTGGCATAGAGTTTGTGCTTTTGTAGTGTTTCTAACACAATCTTAAGATGTTCCTTGTGCTCCTCCTCAGACTTTGAATAGACCAGAACATCATCAATAAATACAACCACAAATTGGTCTAGAAAGGGCTTGAATACTCTGTTCATTAGGTCCATGAATGCAGCAGGAGCATTGGTTAACCCAAAAGGCATAACCAAAAACTCATAGTGTCCATATCTTGTTCTAAATGCAGTTTTTGG